ATCGAACCACACTGCTGTTAAAATGCGTCATTAGAGTTGGTCATATTCCAGCTGATGGGCCTCGTAGAGCATGGTTACAGCATGCACACACACGAATGGACACAGAGCTGCAAACACAAATCACTGTCTTCATAACCGAAGAAGTGACTCTTGTGAAATTGTGTGGGCTAAACCCACCAAGGATGTGGAACTTCATTGATGATAAAAACACACATAGCCTATTACCATATGACCTGCTGAGTGCAGAAAATTAGTAAATGCGTAAAAGCCTCCATGAACAAGTTTAGAAAATGTAATGACATTTGCATTTCTGCTCCATTTTTTTTTCCTTCCAGCGTGGGTGCTTATTTCATTCATTAGTCACCATTTTTCATATTTGGTATCATCATTGATTCCGGCTCCGGTATGTTTTGTTGGGTACTTCTATTTAAAATCATTTTTACTCTTACAGTGTATGTTTGCACATCAGGATGCACATCCATAAACTAATATTGTTAAAGTATTCCCAGAGGCCTGAAAACACAAAATCTGAATTAGCTATTGACTTTGTCGTCCTTTATTAGGAGAGTAAAGAATCACTGCACTATTGATTTTGGCCTCATTTGATCATCAACTTTCCCTGTTTCTGCTTTACGGGCAATTTTCTTTCCCTTGTTTCTCATGCCTTTAATCTTTATTCCACCATCATGTCCATCCTTGCATTGTATGAACTCATCATAATCATAAAGTTTTATTGTACAAACCCCAGCTTTGATTCTTTTTTAACTATTCCACCTTTCCCTCTGAGATTATGTATCTATTAAGCCAACACAATTTGTTTTAGTGGTATGACCAGCTTTTAAAAGAGAAACAAAGATGTGCTGACTCAAGAAGTTAAGACATTTGTTCTTATCACTCATTACATGTGTTAAATTAAAGGCATGGTTTTAAAATAGGGTTCTGTGGAAAGGCTAAATAATAATACCATACCATACCATATCATATCATACCAGCTTCATTTATAGATCACTTTAAACTCCCACAGGACCAAAGTGAAGTACACAAAATAAAACATAATGACTATAATGGTATAAAACAATGATTAATGACTATCTTACCTGTTGTAGATAGCTCTTTGTATGACCACAGATTAGAAAAATAAAGTTTTTCAATCCCATGGTGAGCAGAGCCATGACCAAGTCAAATCACTGTTTAAAAAAATAATCCAATTTGTAACTCAGCACTAGGTCAAATTTGGCCAAGCAATACCTGGGTAGTTTTAACTTAGCAGGGTTTGGTTATCATTTTAAATCAGCATACTGGGTTAGGTGTTGGTTAAAACAACTAACTTGTTAAATTACAGTTTTTAAAAAGCTGTGTGACAAAGAACAATCCTAAATGTAAATTATTAGATAATTGCAACTTGGATTGGTTGTAGCTAACTTGTGCTAACTGCTATTAGCATCAGCTAATTATAGGAACCCAAATTCATTGTCTTTTAAAAAGTTGTTTTTAGTATCTTACTTGCCTATTTCTTAAATTAGAGGTCCAGTAAGGTCTGACTTGGTCAGCTTCTGGTCTAAAATGACAGACTGCAAAGATGACAGGACTTATCTTTGACCCACACAACCACTGGGTCAAATGTTTTAACTTAACAGGCTACAATTTTATTTATTTATTTAGTTTTCTCTGTGCTCCGGTGAAGTCAGATGTGTCTCTTGGTGACCCCCCCCCCCCCCCCCGCTTCCCTGCTTGCACTCTTTCGTCTTGTGAACCCTTAAAGAGCTTCTTTTTTTTTTTGTCTTGCATACCTTCTTATTTGAAGGATTTGATCAGCTGGTCTCTCAACAAAATTGCTCCACTTCTCCCGACAGGAGTCAGAGTAAGGAGGACCCTCTCACCTCGACGGAAACAAATTGGATTCATGATGACAACTGTTTTTTTTTTGCTCTTTGGGTTGGTGAAATCTGGATTGTCTACAAATTTGTGTGGATGTGTCGAAGCTTGGCAACACTCAGACTGAATTATGTGGAGCTGCGTCAGAGCTGGAGCAGGCTGTTATCAGGACTGTGAACTTCCTGGCAACACCCATGGACGGTGGGAATAAATTGGAGAAGCTGTGAGCTCGATTTTCAGCGTAAAGGATCAATTCGGCTGTTTGGAATCACCATCAGGGAAATGTACCAGCGAGACTTTAAAAGGCAGAAACAGCAATTCACGAGTTCTGCCTGACCCCAACTGTGGCCTTGACGATGGACTTATCTCAACTCCTCCTGGCATGTTTTGAAAATAACAAAGATGCTTTGTTTGTCTCCTCACCCCTCCCTTCCCCAAGGCCGTGGACATGTGACGGAACCTCAACCAAGCTAATGATAAATAACACCTCTTATCTGGACAATGGCTGGGGGGGGGGGCTCTAGACTATGCTACAACCTTCCCTTAAAATTCAATGTCTTCACCGGCCTATATGTATCACGTCTGTTTATGTTGCTTTGCTGTGGTAGTTTTTTTGATGCCTCAAATCGTGCCCTGTCTAGGACATGGTGTGAGTGTCACAATCCTCAGTGTTGGAACCCAATTGCAGAGAGGCGAGCGAGGCAGGAGTTTAAAAATAAAAATAATTTATTTTTTAATAACAAAACAAAAGGCTGTCGGTGCAGCAAAACTTACTTGGGCAGACAGGATCAGAAACAAGGCAGAGCAGATAATCAGGTGGACAAGAAACAGACAAGACAGAAGAGGACTGAGATGTCTGTAAACACAGAACAATGACCGGACAAGGAGTGAAGGAGAGAAAGGCTTTTTATAAGGCAGAGGGAGAGTGAGTAATGAGAGCACCTGGGCAGGTGGCTGATGAGGGACAGGTGTGAATGATAAAGACTGAGGAGTGGAGAGGCAGACTGAGGAGTGAGTGGAAAACAGGACCAGATACACAAAAACAGAAAACACACAAAGAGCAGAGGCTTAGGCAGATGGGGGGGCAGCGGGGGCCGCTGACCGTGACAGGAGTGGAGAGGCAGACTGAGGAGTGAGTGGAAAACAGGACCAAATACACAGAAACAGAAACCACACAAAGAGCAGAGGCTTAGGACACAGAAACAGAAACCACACAAAGAGCAGAGGCTTAGGCAGATGGGGGGGCAGCGGGGGCCGCTGACCGTGACAGTGAGAGATCTTTTTTTTAATACCGTCTCTCCTTATGTTTTCTTCCCTTTTCTCATCTAAGCAAAAATATTATTCTGAACAAGAATAAGAAGGCCGCGCTTTTTATAGCAGCGGTTTCATGCACTCCGTCCATCTTTCGGACAACTGTACGTACATGCTCTCGTATCTCGGTGCAATGACAATAAAGCTTATTCTGATTCTGACAATATGAATTAATCTGTAATTTAAAAACTACAAGGTAAAGGTTTATAAAATAGTGTTTGCACAAATGTGCTGTGAACATTTTGAGTTGCTGTTTGAAGATGACACCAATCCACTCTGGTCTTGGCCTTGCAAGGACTAGTCTTCCTGTCAGTCTGCTCAAATTGAAACCCAACAACAGGTAAGATATTAATTGTTTATCTTTCCACAGAACCCTACTTCAAAACTTCTGAACTACTGCTAATCAGTTTGAAGCTGTTAAATAAAAATGTATAAATAGTATGTGTCCAATTCAAGTAACTCAACAATATAAAATTGGCTCTACGTGTAATTTATTTAAAATTATTATACATTTAAATAAATTTATGTTTGTTTGCTAATGTTTAAACTATACAGTGATATACTTCTCAACTTTTTTAATAGATGACGTGAAAGGGCCCATATGTAGGTACTTCCTTACACACTGTACGTGTTTATATCATTGTTTGAATGTGAACTTTTGTCTCATTTCTCAAAGATGGATGTGTTTAGACTGACCGGGGTAGGGGGAGGTGGAGATGAATTCTCCAAAACAAAAAGAGAAGGGGTAAGCTGCAGGAGGTGGAGGAGGGATTGAAGCTGAGTCAGACTGTGACATATAAAGAAACACACTGAGGGGAAAAAAGTGTTAATAGTTATTGAGTGTGGGAGATTTTGGGCTCAAGGGGAAAAGACAAGATGTGGGAAGGAACACAAATAGTCAGAATACTCTTGGGGGAGAAAAGATGAAAAAGGAAATAAAAAATGATGGTGACCTGCAGAAAGTAATTTTTCCATCCTGAGGATGAAAGTCTTCTGTTTGACCTTTTCAGACTGATTCACACCCTTTCACTCAGTTTCTCTCAAACCTTATTTTTTTTTTAAACATCCTTGTGTGGCTCCCACTAACTTTAATGTATAGTTCTTCAGCTCCTCTATGAGATTAATATTGGCCATGAAGTTGATACAAATGTTCTGAAACTTTATACAGAAATGCAATATTTATGTACACAGAACTTATTGCTTTCAGTGCTTCTCAATAAGAAATTCAGTAAATCTGCAGAAATAAATTGTGCACAGAAAACTGTATTTTCTTTAAAGCAACTTCTGATGGTTAAATTAACCTACGTTTAGAAGCTTTGAAAATAAAGTTATCTTGTTTTAAGTCAATAACAATCAAATAAAACATGTTTTGCTTCTTTACAGCTGTGCTAGCTGCTTTAAAGTGTGTTTTACCTCAGCGCCTATAGCGATATAGTTAGTTAATTATCATTTTATTCTTAGTCTAAAAATATCTTCTGACGTTTTATTGTGTCTGCAGTTTTGTTCTTTTTTTATATGGCGTAAAATCAGAAACATGAAAGTGTTCCTTTGCTCCCCTCTGCTGGAAAAATTGTGCATGTGTTGAACTAATAAAATAAAATTAATACAAATAAATTGTATAAAAACTACAATCACATTTACAGCCATATATGTGCTAATTTAAATGCCATATATTCGATTTTATTTCACATATCTTCATGTTTCATGTATTTCGTCGGGGAAGAAGAAAAAGAATCGCTATGTATGAAATCTCGCGATATTACGCTGATCTCATCTCATTCTAGTAAAACTGGAGGGATTCGCAACTCGCGAGCACGAGCAGCTACTAGCTAAGAAGCTAGCAGTGGATATAACTTGTCTGCAACAAACTTTTGTTTGTAAACAGCATTTTCTGAGGTATGGAGTTAGGCGAAGTGCTTTGGTGGATATTTTATGTTTCTGACTTGTTTAATGTTTTGAATATCTGTCCAAAACGCCAAATGCGACTTTTTTAGTTTGTAATCCACAGACCAAAACATCGGTTAACTAAATTCAACGCTAGTGAACAACGGCAAAACCCACACAACTAGCTGTTAATTTAGCTGCTTGCTAACTATTTTTCTGTTTAAACTGTTAAGTAAGAAGCAAATGACACTTTTCTCACGCATGGCAATTTATTATTTAGCTTCTATTAACATGTTCAGTTTTTCTTGAGCCAAATTATATGAAGGCAAGCTACCATAACAGACTTGAAGTATGTTGGTTGAATGAATGTTATTTATTTGCATTTTCTGATATTTTTTACTATTGACTTTATTTAATGCCTCTACGAATGACTGCTTTATCTAAAAGCCGTTTTTAAAATGTTGATTTTACTCACTGGCATGTTTAAGATTTGAGTGTTGCACATGATATTAATAACTTATAAAGTAAAAGGTTTTTTTTTTAACACATCATTTATGTTGCCAGGTTAGTGGTCGATCCAAGACATCTTAAAAAAGATGTTGATATCTTACTTAAAATCCATTATTAGTGGAACAAAACAATTAGAAAATAAATTAATGTCAGAAATGTATCAATAAATAATGCAGTATTTCCATTTATGTTAGTTAATCCATGAAACTGACCAAATCAGTGCTTTTTAAACATTAAATGCATTTAGCTGCTAATAGTGATGCAATTATTCAAGCAGTCCTCATGTATGATTTACTGTAGTTGAGGCACTGTATCTATTTTTCATCTTGCATCACTATACTCTTGTTTATGTGTTGAACCTCTTGTTACAGTAACGCCAGTAGCCCCTTGAAATGGATTTAGAAGATGACATCACCGTGTTAACAACTTTAAAGTCATTTAACACCTTTATCAGTCGCCCCGAACATCCACAGCGGCTGTCGGAGCACTCGGCGGGGAGTGGGTTCCTGCAAAGTCAATACAAACGCAACATGGAGGTATGAGAAAAAATATTTTGCAATTATTACCACTACCATCAAGTGATATACATTGGCCACTGCGCTGACTAATGTGTCTTTGTTTTAGCTGGTAGATGCAGCAGAGAGGGTTCACACTCAGCACCGCTACCTACAATTAGACCAAGAAAAGAAACGGATGGAACTGAGTCACAAACGAGCCCGTTTTGAACTAGAGAAGGCAGCTTCTGACAGTGCACGAGACTTGGAGGTACAGAGCATATACATTTACAGTATTTACATTCATTTAGCACAGTTAAATATTGAGTTTCTAGGTTTACTATTCTCAGATTTCTTCACTGTTCTTTCATTTCTTAGCCTCCATATATATACTACCGCTTGTTAACTTTTTTATGTTTTAGCATGAAGTGGATCGAAATCAAGAACTTTTGGGGCGAATTAAGAAGTTTGAGGAGAGGGAGGCAGAAGCGACAAAAAACTTGTCTGAGCAGGTGGAGGCAAACCAGGCTCTCCGCAAGAACCTGGAGGTTGTGAACAAAAAGCTGGAGGAGCGAGATACTAAATTGAGTTCAGCCAACCAGGTACACACATGCACGGATACAGACTTGGTTGTCCCTCTGGTTATTTTATTTTATTATTTTTTTTTTTTTGTCTTACTATGGCTCATCTCATAAATCTGTTTCCAGACCATCTCTTGTTTGAAGGATGATATCAGAGAGCTGAGACTGAAGATTCAAAACCAAGACTCGACAATTTCTGCCCAAACACTGGAAAACCAGGAACTACAGGAGCAACTTGATTTGCAACGCAGGTGCAGACCCATGGATTGCCAGTTAATGTTACAATGTACTGAGCTTTACTGAATACTGTAAGGTAATGCTAACCACTTACACATTTGATTGGCTTGTTATCAGGAAGTATCAGGAAGTCTCACAGCTTTGCCAAAGTCTCCAAGCCACTCAGTCTTCCTGCTCACAGCATGTGATCAAGATTAAGGTATGTTGCACATATAGCTGATTCTGCTTTGGCCTTCTCTTTGATTATACCTTAGAGTTTGTGCATTGGGAGCCCAATTATCTGCTGTGATTCCCAGTCATTCAGGGCACTTCAGTCCTAGTCAAATTCAAAACTGAATTGTTCTGAATTGCGAACGCTCCTAGAAGACTAGCAGTATGATTCTCACTTGGGGTGTGAGAGGTCCCGAGTGCAAATCCCGGACGAGCCCCCAATTGTTACAACCTGGGGCAAACACAGCCACCAAGCAGCCATGGAGTCAAAGGATATATGATAGAACAGTGATTTTATTTACAAATGTGAATATTTTTGTCATTTTGGGAGTCTTCCCACCATCAGGATGAGCTCAGGACAAAACAACAAACAAAACCACCTAAATACTATTTTTCTCTTACCTGAATTAAATAAAATTGACTAAAACACAGGTCTTTAACCTCAATTTTAACAAAAAAACAGGAGAAAAGATCTTAAAATAAAATGGCAGCTCTCCCCTACAAACTCCTCACAAAACTATTTACAGCTACGGTAATTAATCAGACGAGTGCCAGCAGGTCAGCTGTAGCTGGTTCGGGAGAGCAGAGTGGGTGGAAGCCGACGTCATCATAAACACAGCTCCTCTTATGCAGCACACCTTGTCAGGCAGCCAATCCCTGTTCATCTCCTCAGTGTCTTCATCCAGTCACAGCAGTAGCTATACCCGGACACTAATTTACACTCAATTTGCCGTTACACACGCACACACAAAACTTACGTTGTAACAGCTCCTTAGATGAGAAGTAAAATGTCTTTAAGAAAATAAAAAAGGTCTAGTTGCCACTGATTTTATTTATTAGGACAATTTCTCTGTTTTACCAGAAGAATGAACTTCCAGTAAACTTGTTCTCAATTAAGGATGCAGAAATACACCATTTAAACCCCCCACCATCAGTAAAATAAACCCGATAATGTCTAATATTGAATAGTGAATTTCTCCATCATTGTTAATGTGCAATATTGCTTTAACATGGAGATTTCTTACTGATTTCATCTACCTTTCCTAATATAAAATTAGAGAAGTCAGTTACATTCATAAATGTATGTCTGAGCATTCAGATATCAACTTTATCTGTTTTCCTCTCGATCATTGACCGACAAAACCAACAAATATAAACAATCTTTTTGGAAGAATTCTATTTTTTATATCTAACATATATTTTTCAGTAACATCAAGTTCTTATAAATTCTGTAAATAAATTTATTTTCAAGCAAAACATAAGCCGATTTTTTTTTTCAACGTGCCAAACGGAAGGTCTTTTTTTTTTTTTTAAATTGTCTGTTTGTTTTGGCAGGACTTGGAAAGACGTCTGGTCCTTCAGGAGCAAGACATTGTTATTGTGAAAAGCGTGAAGTCAGAGGTGGCCAGAGTTCCTGATCTGGAGAAAGAAGTAAAGCGTCTCAGGGATGACAACACTTTTCTCAGGTGAAACGACACTTTCCTTTTTTTTTTACTTCTCTGTGCTGTCTCTGTATCACTTGTCAAAAGAATGGTTATTTTAGGATTTTCAAAACTTGACACCAAATGTTCAGGGTTATATTGGTGTCTCAACACTGCTGCCTGTGATTTCACCCAGGCATAGAAATAGATAAGGTGTGGGAAAGTATTTACATGCACAGAAATGTCATGAAAACATAAGTTTAGTTTCTAAAGATCTTGGTTGGAACTAGGAATGTGCGATATGGCATAAAATTCATATCACGATATGTATTGTGAAGGGTGGCGATAACGATGTATATCGTGATATCTTTTTGTTATAAAACTTGCTAAAAAAAGCACAGGGTGTCCTTTTGCCATCATATATTGTGAATTCAGAAAATTCCACTACTAGGTCCAGAGAGTTTTTAAATAATAAACAAATCAAGTATTAGGCTTCTTTCTTGTAGTGCAAAATATATCAAATTTAGTTTTAGCCATATGTTTTAAACAAAAAAAAAAGTTAACTCTTAACAGTTTCCAGTCTTCTCACTTAAGAAATGAACAGCAACAGAGCAGCATTTTACACTGAAACACTTCACCCTCCAACCCTCTAGTGGGCGCCTCCTTCTGCTTTAAGGAGAGCTGACACAAAATGAGTCTGTGGCTTTGACCAGAGGGTCTCACAGTAAAATCACACAACACAGCGTTCTTTTCACAGATCAGAGAGCAGCTTTCTCTAAAGCTGACCAACGATTACTTTAACTTTCGATGGAAAAAAAAAACTTTCGACGGAACACAGCGTTTGCGCATGCATCAGAATACAGCAACTCTACGGCAAGCCGGCTGTAGTTAGCTTGTAGCTTCGCTACTTAGCTCTCGAAGAAAAGACTTTAACGGCACTTGCGCACCGTTTTCAGCTCAAAAAAAGTAACAATTAAATCTGACAGCTCTGATTTTACTTCAGACACAGCATTACTGCGGTTAGCCGGTAGAAGTCAGATCTCTCTCGTAGGCTAAATTTCTATAGTTTCTACCGTGTACTGTTTATATCGCGCATTCCTAGTTGGAACCAGTAATTTTTTGCTCAGTCATTTTAGCTTTTTAGGGTTAAATTACCAGTAAGAAGTTTTTATGAGGCTGATGTGCACCAAAAGAAGCTGAATGAGAGAAATAATACCTGTGATTATTTATGACATTTGTTAGTTGTCATTTGCATTATTGTAATTCTTACCGCTCTGAAAGATTGGTGCGAAATAAGGACACCGCGGACTCCGTCCGAAGCCTAACAGTCAACTTGTGGCCATGTGGTTGCGTGACGTTTGCATTTGCTCACACCTTTCGTAGTCCACAAGACACGATGCAGAGCTGGGAAAGCCCCCCTGCTCCTGATGCATCACGGCATGTGTGCACTCATGTCTGCACAATCTCCGTCTAGGAGTTTTTGGCCATTTGACTATCTTGGTGTGTCTTGAAGAGTCGTATAAATGAATGTTCAAGCGCTTTTTCACATTAACAAACAAGCCCAAAAACTTCAGACCAATCCAGCGGTACTTTGCGCATACTCCTATGAGGAAAACGTTTGTCCCGGGAGCTGCTCTGAGAACAAAATAACAATTTCTGCCACACAACTACGTCAGCGAGAGCAGATTTCCCTGCTTCGGATGGAGTATGCAGGGAGGTGTACTCTTGTTGCTACGTAACGTCGGACTTTCCCTCAGAGAACAGCCAGGTCTAATCTGTGTTTTTTTTTTTTTGTCTTGACTCCATTTAGGGAGGGTAGAGAGAATTGCAGCTTGTTGAAGGAGGAGGTGGAAGGATTAAGGAGGAAATTGGAGAGGATGGAGAAAACTAAAGAAGAACTGGTCAATATGGAACTGGAGAAAGAGGTAAATTGCCGTTAACTTAAAAAAGATCTGAAGAATGTGAAAAAAATAATCTGTACCGTATTTCCGCCGTACACGTCGCACCGCCGGATAAGTTGCAGCAGTCCAAATATGTCTAATAAAGTGGAAAAATGCATAAATACATCACTTTGCCGTATGCGTCACATCTATTATGTGCCACTGCTGACACGTCGAGTTTGTTACACGTCACCACTGACAACCTGGAAATGTGGGCCAAACCCAGAAATGTGGTCTGGTGTGCCAAAAATCGATTGGCTGCCAAATGGCGGCCGCGGAAGCATGCACGGGAGGACTTTAACAAGAATTTAACAAGATTAACACTTAAAAACAATTATTTGTTTTCTCGAAATTATAAAAAGGTGTGTCTAAGTCTAACTTTTCCTTAATAAATGCATTTTGATGGTCAAATCAGCTGCACTTCAAAAGCTGATTCACGGGAGCGTGCAGAGGGAGGACTCGCTGTGCGTTTCTTTGAAATTTAACAAGATAACCACCTAAAAGCAATTATTTTTTATTCGACTTTATAGCAAAGGTGTGTCTCAGTTGAACTTTTACTAAATAAATGCACTTCAGTGATCCAGTTAGCTGCATTTCGCCGGGGCGTCGCAGCGAAATTAAGCTAATTTGACGGTTGCTCCAGGCAAGCTGGACGAAGTTGGCAGTCTGTGGAGCCGATTGTGTCATTAATAGCCACTTTTACCTATTACATGACACGACGACATTCCATACTACTCGAGTGCAATCTAGCAGCTAAAAATGTTAGTGTTCAATATTTTCAGTCAGAATAAATGTAAACGGTCATATCTCAGCCAAAAATTTGTTTATAAATATGGGAAAAAAACATAAATAAGTTACTTTGGTGTTTAAGTCACAGGGCATGTAAATTATGCAAAATAACTGACTTATAGGCATAAAAGTATGGTATATGATATCAAAGCCTAGGGCTAAATAAGTAATGACTTTCTTCCATCAGGCAGCACTGCTTTAGAAACACTTTAATTCTGTACAAGTCATAATAAAACTAATTTTATATACCGTATTTTTCGTCCTATAAGTCCTGTAAGCTTCATTTCGCTGCGCCGCTCTGGCGAAATGCAGCTAATTTGACCATTGAAGTGCATTTATTAAGTAAAAGTTCAACTGAGACACACCTTTACTATAGTCGAGCTAACAGAAAATAGTTTTTAGGTGTTTAGTTTGTTATATTTCGAAGAAATGGACAGCGAGTTTCCCTCTGCGTGTTCATGTTTCCGCATATCGGCTTTTTTGAAATACAGCTGATGTGACCGTCAAAGAGCATTTATTAAGGAAAAGTTCGACTGAGACACACCTTTGCTATAATTTCGAGCAAACAAATAATTGTTTTTAAGTGGTAATCTTGTTAAATTCTTGTTAAAATTCTCCCGTGCATGCCCCCGCAGCCACCATTTTGCAGCCAATCGATTTTTGGCCCACAGGCCCACATTTCCTGGTTGTCAGTGGTGACGCATAATAGATGCGACACATACGACGAAGCAACTTATTTATGGATTTTTCCACTTTTTTAGACATATTTGGACTGATGCGACTTAAAGGGCGGTGCGACGTGTACGGTGGAAAACACGGTAATGTTTTTCTTAATGGTACCTTACAAGGAGAAATGAGATGATGTAGGTATTTTATGGTATTTATAAAAAATACCATTGCAAAAGAGCGAGCTAAATCCTTTAGAAAACGTTGGAAATGTTTTCAGTAAAGTTTGAAGTAAACTGAGACTTGACGTGTCTTAGCTCCGTAGGCAAATTACTTTATAAATTGGTGGCTTTAATGGAAAAGATCTGATCTCATTTAATCACAAATGAGACCTAGGAGCAGTTAGAAGGGCATTATCATCAGATGCTAGTGGCTGGAAGTTAATAGGTTTAAGATATATTTATGGTCAAGGGCGTTGTAAAGCTATAAAAGTGAGGTCTAGGAAATAAAAATCAATACGAAATCTAACAAGATACATGGAGACAAATACATAGGTGGGATTTATTTAGTCGTTTTTTGTTCAGATAATGAGACTAACTGTAGTGAATTAACTGCAACAAATATGCAAGTTACATTTTATTTTTACTTTTGGGCTGCTGCGATCCTGCATTGCACCTCACACATTTACCATTGTTTCTTGGTCGTAAACTAATTTCTTAGTTTCAGCATTTAAAAAGCTGTCTTGTTTTACTCTGTTTTTGAAGTTGGGTTGTATTTGCTTTTACTTAACACGTATCAACTTTGTTTACGTCTTTACAGACCCTTTCCCAAAAATTAGAATATCATGGAAAAGTTGTTTAACTTCCATAATTCCATTCAAACAGTTAATATTTAATAGAAGATAGATTCAGGGCCCACAATTTAAACAACTTCAAATGTTTATTTGTTTAATTTTTCACAATTTGGGCTTCCAACTCATGAAACTCAAGAAAACAGGATTTCAAAAAATTAGAATACTGTGAAGACATCAGCTCAAATGTTGCAGGGCATGAATGTTTTAAACTGAGTGTGACACGCTAATCATCTACTAAACTCAAAGCACCTGCACAGGTTTCCCCAGGTGTCAATGAATTGCTTCAGTTTGGTTCTCTTGTCTCAGTTCGGTTCAGTATGGGAAAGACTGCAGACATAACAACTGGCCAGAAGACCATCATTCATACCCTCCATAGGATGGGTAAGCCACAAAAGTTCATAGCTAAGGAGGCTGGCTGTTCACAGAGTGCTGTGTCCAAGCATATCAATGGAAAGTCTAGTGGAAGGGCAAAATGTGGCAGGAGAAGATGCACCAGCAACAGAAATGACCATGTGCTTCAGCGGATTATCAAACGGAGAAGATTTCAGAATCTGGCAGTGATCCAGAAAGAGTGGAATGAGGCGAGAGTCACAGCTTCAAAAACCATCACATTCAGACACATCCGGGAGATGGGCTACAACTGTCGGGTTCCTCTGTCCTCTGTTCTAATGAAAGTAAAGTTTGTCTTTCATTTGGAAATCAAGGTCCAAGGGTTTGGAGGAAGAAGGGTGAGGAACAGAGCCCATACTGGTTGAGGTCTAGTGTAAAATATCCAATCAGTCATGATTTGGGGTCCAGGTGTTGGTAAACTCTGCTTTCTTAAATCCAAGGTCACTGCAACAGTCTACCAGAATGTGTTAGAGAACTTCATGATTCCTTCTGCTGAGGATCTGTATGGAGATGCAGATTTCTTCTTCCAGCAGGACCTGGCCCCTGCCCATGCCGCCAGAAGCACCAAAACCTGGTTTGATGCCCACGTCACAGTGCTTGACCAGCCAGCCAACTCGCCGGACCTAAACCCCGTTGAGAATCTATGAGGTATTCTCAAGAGGAAAATGAGGGGCACCAGACCCAACAACAAAGAAGAACTGACAGCAAGCATCAAGGAAATCTGGGCTTCCATAACTCCCAGTCAATGCCACAGGCAGATTGCCTCAATGCCACGTCGCATCGAGGCGGATTCTCAACCAAGTATTGAAGAATGATATGTTGTTTTGAAAGTACCATATTTTGATTGATTTGTTGTGATGCTAATTTCTTTCTTTTTTCTGCAAAAACTGAGAAGCCGTGTGGGCTGATTTCTTCACAGTATTCTAATATTCTGAAATCCTATTTTCGTGGGTTTCATGAGCTGGAAGCCCAAAATATGTAAAATAAACAAATAAATACTTGTAATCATTTAAATTGCGGGCCCTGAATCTATCATCTATTAAAGATTAACTTTTTGAATGGAATTATGGGAGTTAACTTTTCCATGATGTTCTAATTTTGTGGAAAGGGTCTGTAGTTCTGATATCAGTAAGGCTTTAACTTTATGTTTGAATCTTATTTTAGAGGCTGGCTGAGAAGCTGCAGGCCTGGGAAAACCTTGGACAATCCACTGGACTCAACATAAGGTCAGCCATTGTATAAAAATGTGCCTGATTGTATGGAGGGTACACAAGTTTACCTTCTTATTAACTGCTTTTAGTGAAATACAAAAAATACCCACTAGATGGTGCTTTGGTCATTTTGTAAAAATACTCCTCAGTCATTGTTCCTTCAGTGTGTACAGTCATGCTTTATTTTCATCTGCATGTACATTTGTTAGATTTGTAATTCAGGTAAATTATTAATAGAAGAACAAATGCACATTTTCTTATGATCTCTGGAAGAGGATCTGACAAGTTGTAAACATCGCAAATGTGCATCACATGCATATCTTTAGTATTTTATTGCATTTTTTATGATTAACTCCAGCTATGGTGGAACACATCCACACACTATATCAAGTGTTTGTTTTTTACCATTTGTCAGTGAGCATGTGTAGCACAGGTGTTAGACATTCCTTTTGGGCAGAAAGGTAGATGCCGGCACACGATGGAGTGCAAAATAAAGTGAAACCTGTCTGCCCTGGGAACCAGTCGAATTGGAGACCTCATGTTTCATTTGCTTTGACAGAAAGCATCTGGTATGCCTTATGCTTTTTCATCTGGCTTTGCCCTGGTCAGACCGAAACCAGTGGTTTATCTAATAAAAGACGAAGGTTTGATATGAGACCTCATGAAGGGGCAACGCTGAGGCACGTTGCTCTGCACCGTCTCTTGTGTTTTGCTGCTTCGTTGTATCCAATTGAGTCCAGAGTTTTAGTTTTTGCCTTTCCTCCTAAAAAATTAATTTGGGAGATGAGTTCACATTATAGCATTTGGATGTCTACCAGAATGTTTGGCCAAAAGTGCCCCCCCCCCGCCCCCCCACACACACACACACCATTTGAAACTCATTTCAAATTCAGGTGTTTAGACTTCATGTTATTTACTGCCTGAGTGCAGTTCATTTAAGCTAAAACAACACGAAACAAATCACACAAGTCTGCTGGATTCCATTCACTTGAAATACTAATCCAGCGTAAATTACCAATTAGAAACCCCTTTAAGCTGTTTACTAAATGATCAAATTGTTTGTGGTCAAGGTTTCTTCTGGTAAACATAGAAAAGTGTGTTTCAGTCAGCTGTTTGTTTATCTTTATTGCTCTCTGAGGACCAGTGCTGTGTGAAAATGAGTATCGACACAGATTTCTGCTCTTGCAGGCTTTAAAACTCGTTGCTTCATGATTTCAATGTACAGACTCTTGTCAGCCACAAATTGTATTTCTCAAAGTTTTTTTTGAGAATGCTTAAATTTGATTAAAGTAAAACAAACCAAACGTGTGTTTTGCTACTTATAATTGACAAGTGTAATGAAAATGGATGATTACGCAGTAAAAACGTAATATCTCAAGACAAATTGTAAAGTGAAAATACAAGAGATAATGTTGACTCTGAATCAGTCCAAAGCAGGGTCCATGTCTGAATAATGCAGAATGCAGGCAGAAGCAGGGATTTAATGTGCTTTGATGGCCATGAAAGGACAAACACTCCCTCAGCTCTGATCTTCTGCCCCCTTTTACTCAGCCGCGTGCGTCCACTGACCGTTAATAACTATATAAGCAGTCAAAGCTTAATTTAAAATGGTGGGGGCTTTTTCGGGTTCAGACCGGTAATTACTGTATTTTCTTGCGTATAAGTCGCTCCGGAGTATAACCGCTGGCCTGTCGCGTTTATTATGCGTTCATTTAATGGTCAAAACAGCTTCATTTCTCCTTGGCAGTGTGGCGCCATCCGTCCGTCCATCGTAGCTGGAGCCACAAGCTCTCCAGCGTTCCTCTGCTTGCACCAGCTGAGTGAAGCGAGCACGCACGGAAGGACTCGCTGTTGCAGTTCTTCAAAATTTAAAGCGTCAGTCAAAAATTGCGTTAAGAATATGGGAAAAAAAATTATATAAGTCCCTTCGGTGTATAAGTTGCAGGACTGACAAATCTATGCAAAAATTGTGACTTATATGCTGGAAAATACGGTACTGTTAATTAATCGAGTGGAGTGGGGTTCGGAAATGATGGCTATAGGCTGGAGCCGGGTCAGGTCGGATTTTTTGGACCCGAATGCAACTCTAGTCCAGTTAGTCCAGTTCCTCGGCGATCACTGAGCAGGCCAGGCCACCGGGAAATTTCCCAGTGCTCCTGATGGTCAGTCCGCCCCAGGGATTGGCTCAGTAACTAGCATCAGTCTGTCTGCTCTCTTTCGCTGTGCTCTTTTAGAGCGTTTAGAGTTGAGAACATTAAGAACATTGCAAAAGTGTGTGAAGGGTTTATAAAGCTTATGAACAATATATAAATACTAAAATAAATATAAATCCCTGCTTTGCAGATTTTCACCTATCGCGGGGGTGTCTGGAACGTAACCCCCCCACGATAGGTGAGGGACTACTGTATTATGAGTGTTTATGTTTGTGTGTGCTGTATGTACAGGTGCTTTTACAGTACAAACTTGATCTTCATGCATCATGAATGTTTTTTTTTTTTTTAACATTTCATTACTGGAACAACATTGAGCATCATAAGTAGCAACATTTTTATTGTTGTACTCGTAGTATGTAAGTCTTGTGTCAACAGAATCCATAGAATTAAACATATTACAAAACTCAACTCTCTTCCCTAAATTTTTATTTTAATAATTGTGTAAAGAACACTTTTCTACTCTTCTATTCAGTACAGACTTTTATCTGGTGTGCTGGGTAAATGAATAATTTAGGAAACATAAAATTTGTATGTAACATGAGGTTTTCCCAAAATTTGCCTTAAGCTTTAGTTTAGGGAAAAACATCTTTGTATATCAGAAAAAACATGAACTGTGGGAAACACAGTTTGTCTTGGTTGTTAAATGTTTTATAAAAAGCAGCTCACAAGACATAACCCGCACTGTAAAATAAACCGTGTTTATTTTACTAAAGGGACAGTTTTAAACTAGCCTCAATGCCGATCGCCATCCTCTGACAGTTTATTTACTCTTGAAACATCTTGTAGTTATTCACTTCTCCCCCAATAGGGACTTGGTCTGTAACCAAACTGTGATTTCACCATGTCAGCAGAGTGGATTGTCTTGTAAAGTGAAAAATTAAAGTAGGAAAGTAAACTCAGGAAAAGTTTCAATCTCTCTGTGCTTAGAGACGTGTATAAAAACATCCGCTGTTACATAATATTACAGCTATTGTATGATTGAGAAATGTGCATTTTACTTAATTTTTTTTGTACCTAAAACCCGAGCTAGTTACAATTACGTAATAGAAGTGGTATTAAACTGACAGGCTGGTTTTTACTCGGCTAAAGTTAAAATTGATCGTTCATCTTTTTCCTCGATACATTTGCTCTTTTTATTACCGGTACGCATCTTGGAAGACCGCCAAGTTGGAAGCTCAACGCAAAAGTCACAAACATGTCGCAAATTAGACTGCAGCAACTGGTTGATACCCAAAATTTTAGTTGTCCTGGCTGAACAAAATGAAGGCATGAATTATTAGTAGTCCCTCGCTTATCATGAGGGTTACATTCTGGACACACACCCCCACCCCCCCCCACCCCGGCGATAAGTGAAAATCCGCAAAGCAGAAATGACGGATTTCTGAGTTGAAACAACATCCCCAAACTTTTCAGTCAACTAATAAATTTAAATCAACTAAACTAAAGCCAAAGTTGGTATAGCAAGTTTATTACTCAACATAACTTGATAATGCTTATTCACTCAACTTAAAGTTTTTAATTGAGTCACTTTCCGGTTCGGCGGACCTACCCTGCCTGTTCTGCTTCATTTCTGGTCTGGTTCTGTGCAGCCTTTGAGCACTGAAACGCATTTTGGAGGGAGCCAGACCTTCGGATGGCCAGCACGGGACCCGACAGTAGGCCAGTTGAGTCTGATGTGCTCCGGAGAGAACGCCGAATGTATGGCGGTGCCTCTCCACTCAGAAGTCCTCGTGGGCCGGCAAGCAGCTCTCAGATTGACTGATGAGTCTAGAGGTCTGGTTCTGCTTCGGTTCCCGGTGGGTCTCATGTGGCTCTGCATCCTCTGGGCGCTGAAATTACTGTATGGTTAAGGACCAAACTTTTCCAATCCTATCAAAACTTTCCCTCTAGTCTTCCAGCAGAAGGCAATGGCGCTTCTGGGAAATGTAGTCGTTACGGGCGGAGATACAGCGTAGGCTTATTGAGAGAAAACTGCAAAACGGCGTCGCCTGTCTGAAGTATTTTATTTTTCGTTAACTTTTTACTGTACAGTATCCAGTACTGTCCCAATCACGTGAGTAATATTAAAGCTGACAATCGTGTCGTGCACAATTTTTTTCTTTTTCTCGTGTCTTTTACTTTGAAAAATCGTGAGAATGAGTCCGTGAACGTCGAACCGCGACGTAGCGAGGGACTACTGTACTTATTTAAAATAAACGTTTTAACGTTGCAAATGCAATTAATTAAATGGAAGAAACTAGCTCCAAAAAAAGTATGGTATCAAAAATGTGGGTATTTTATGTAAGATTGCAGAAGCTTAAATCGTTATTGAGGCATCCGTGAAAGTCAGGAGGTCCAAAAAGTACTATGTCTGATTTTGTTCTTGTTCATTAGGTTTGAAAAAGCTGAGAACCGTCCATGATTTTGAGTTCTCGGCATAATCTGATAAAGCCTTCAAAGGAACTGCAGCTTTCACTTTGAGGGGAAGATAGATCTGTGAATTATCAGCAGAGCAGTGGAATAACATTTCATATTTCATAACGATAAAACTGAACAGGAGCATGTAAAGGTGGGGGAAATTAATAGACCCAGAATGAACCTTTGGAGAACTCCCAAGTGTAGCAGAAGCTGTTAAAGATGACAAACCACTCATTCGGGAAATAAAAAATACTTTTTTGCTCCTGCTTTTAATTCCAACACTGCTCCAGTTGTAAAAATTAGAATGATCGAATGCATCAAAATATGTTCTTAGTTGTAAATATATGTATATACATGTAAGTGTGCACACTCACACTTTACATACTTTAGAGTACTTCTGTTCATCCCACTGAGTATGTGTTATAGAATAAAGACCAGTGTTTAACCCCTGCTCTCCTCATTTGTACTTCTGCTGTTTGTCTCAGCTTCTTTTCCAGAAAATATGGAAACGGTGTTGTTCTTATTTACTCCGTCTTTTCTGCTTCCTAAGCCTTATTGATTTTTCATCGCGTTGGTTCGTGCACGCGTGTGTGTTAACCAGCCCTTCGTTGTGTCTGTCTGCAGGAAACCAGAGGATCTGTCCAGGGAGGTGATTCAGATCCAGCAGAGAGAAATTGCTCTGAAAGAGCAGAACTATGCACTCAGCAGCCGGTAACACACACAGTCTGACTCGCACATAAAATCCCTCTCTTCACTGTCAGACTTATTCCTCTCATTCTGCTCGCCTCGCATGTCTCTCTCCCTCATGTATCTATTAGAGCATATCTCTTAGAAGTCGTTAATTGTCACAAAGTTAATTAAACTGGTCCTGACTCTGATAGCACTCCTGACAGTAACCATTGGTGTGTGTGTGTGTGAGTGAGACGAGGAATTCGCTAATTAAACTCGTCCTGTTTAGACAGAGGTTGGGTCTGCAGGGAGGACTGTCTGCATCCTCTGATGTATTCTTGCTGCAGTCGAGTCCAGCTAAGAAAGCTTCTGTTGGTTAGCGAGCATTTTTCTTCTGCTGCCTGGTTTGAGCTCATGAATTATTAGAAACCTCAAAATGTGAAGGGATGAATGTGGAAAGGTGGAGCCAAGGAACCTTTGGGTGCAATTATTGCCCTTCTATATAATTATTGTCCTATTGATCGGACGTGCCGCAAATCATTTTTACAAATGGTCCTTGGACCTTTGTCTAGAATTTATTTGATGTCAGAAAGGTAAGGAGTCTGTTAGGGATTATTATTATAAACTGACATTAAATTGCTTTTTTAAAATCGCCTGAACATTCATCCCTTATCGTTCTTCCATTTTTTATTACTCTGGGTTTTTTTTTTTTTTTACACTTACAATTATTTCCTGCATGTTCATTTCTTGTGGTCGGTCAGTCTGAGGAGTCTGGAGCGTTTGCAGTCGGAACTTGGTGCAGAACTGACCCAGCAGAGCGGCAAGACTCTGGAGGAGCAGAAAAAGAGAGAGGCCCAGGATTGTCTCGTCCGTCGACTCCAGAGACGAGTGCTGTTGTTAACCAAGGTAACGAACAACAACAACAAAAAGAACAAAACAAGCATACAAACACAAGCACTAGAAATTCAGCAGCTTACTTTAAAACTTTGGAAACATGGGAGGAGATTTATTTTGAAGGCCAGAACAAAGTGTACAATTTTGATTTCGCCATTTACTTCTCCCAATGGACCAACAAATGTCATGTGACTGCTTTGTGTGTATTTTGTGCTTCTTTCCACTTTGCAGTACTTGACTAGAGCCCCCTGTGATATTGATTTCTCGGTGTGCATCATGCGCAGTCTGTTAGTTTACAAATCATACAAGCACTCATGAACGCACATATTGTAATCAATAAACTGGATTAGATATGTCTGAGTCAATCATTGTTTTGTCAGAGGTTGTCTTTTATCGTTTCAACTCCAGCAAGTCTTGGGTTGTGATTGTGCAATATTTTAGATTTTCTTCCAACCAGTTTTTGTTTTTAGAGAAAACATTTGTTAATCTGTTGCTGTTGAAAATAAGAAATGTAAAGAATTTGATCTTTTTTATTAAGGCATGCATTCTGAGCATCAACAGCAGCCAAATATTCACTGAGTTGCATTAACCTATTGGCTGTAGTTACAGATGTTAATGCTTCTCACCAGGACATGCATATATTCCCAACTGCCCAAGTGGTTTGACTCTTTTATTCATCACTTTTTCTTTCATTCATTTAGTAAAAATCAAGGAAAGGACATCTTACTAATGGATTAAATATGATGGAGCAGGAACCAAAGTTATATTTATTATTATTCATTGTTTTATTAGGATTTAATGTAGACGGCTCTTATTAAATTAGTTTCTGGGTAAAATGGCTTCTTGAGGGCTTTTTTTAAATTATAATAAATGCACCTTATAAAGATGTTTTGTAGCTACTGCATTTGTGTGTCTCTTAGGCTGCAGACCTTCACAATAAGACTTTCAACAATAACTAAAGAAATTGCATTTCCTGCGAAGATGCAGTGTGAATGCTTATTGTAAAAGCGTTTGCTGAAAAACAGCTGAAATTAGCTTGAAAATGTGCTGAAATAATAATAATAATGTCATCACAATGTCAGCACTGTATGTTTCCATACAATGGCGAAATTAGTCTCTGCATTTAACCCATCCACCACCAGGTGGTGCAGTGGGCAGCTATTGAAAGCGCCCAGGGGACATTTTGGGGATGAGACGTGCTGCCCAGAGACGCCACGTGATGTGCAGTGACTGGGGATCGAACCTGGGACTTTCGGGTCCCAAGCCGGCTGCCCTGCCTCTACACCATCTCGGCCCCCTGTAGCTTAAATGAAAGAACGAGCCTAAATTAGCAGAATAAAACAGAAAGAACACAGATTTGCTGAATTAGGTTTATTTAAATAAGCAGAAATGAGCACAAAAATTAGGAAATCAGCTAAAACTGCTAAAATCAGCAAAAAAAAACCACATATAAAAAGTAGCTGAAGGAAGTAAAGAAGGAAGTAGAAAGAGCTGAAAGGAGCTCAAAAGATGTGGAATTAGCTGAAAAAGCTAACATTTGCATAAAAACAGCTAAATAGTAGCTGAAATAGCAGAAAAAGCTGAAACTAGCTGAAAAAGCTGAAAGGAGCTTAACAAGCTGAAATTAGCAGAAAGACGTTAATTAGGTTGAAAGTAAAAAAGTTTTGTAAGCTCAATCATCCAGGTAGATAACAACAAAAATGGTTAAATCATGTCATCTGGACCTGTTTCTTTAAGTGAAGAAACGTTTCATCCCCCATCCAGAGGACTTCACCAGTCTGCGGCCTGTCAACCAGTTCTGTCCCATAGGTAGCTCATTGCTGTGTTTCAAGCCAACCTCCTGTTGAAATCTCAGAAGCAGCTTTTTGTAACACATGCAAACAGAGAACACCCAGCAGAAAGTAGCAGGAATTCTCAAGAAAAACTTTAATTTATCTGAAAACAGTTGAAATTGGTTAAACATTTTTGAAAAAGGTAGCTGAAAAGGTAGACGAGCTTAAATTAGCAAAAGAAGGCAGAAAGAACACAATTGCCCATATAGACTGAAAGAAGCAGAAATGAGCACAAAAAGTAGAAAATATCTGGAAAAAAGTTGAAATTAGCAAAACAGCTGAAAAGTAGCTAAAATGGCAGAAAGAAGCTGAAATTACAAGGAGGAAGTGGAGAGAACACATTTTTCCTGAATTGGGCTGAAAAATGTTTAAATTAGTGCAAAAATATGGAATTTGCTGAAAAAGCTTAAACTAGCATAAAACAGCTAAATACGGGTAGCTGAAATAGTTGAAAAAACTGAAACTTGAAGTTAAAAAGGGCATAACAAGCTGAAATTAGCAGAAATATGTTAGAAGAAGCACAAAAATGTTGTAGTTAACAGAAAGAATCTGAAAGGATCACAAAACAGCTGAAAAAAGCAAACAGCTGAAATTAACTGAAAGTAACTGAAAAAAGTTTACATTTGCACAAGGAAGCTAAAAGAAGTTGAACCAGAACAAAATTTTAATGGAGCAGTAAAAGGTTGTAAACACATCTAAAGAAGTAAATATATGAAGAATGTAAAATGAGCTAAATTCATTTCATATTAGAAAAAAAATGGCAGAAAAAAGCTAAATGTTTCAAAAAGCTAAAGTTGCACCAATACCAAAAGTCATAGCAGGATTGTCCTGAAAGAGCTGAATGTTTTGATTTACGATTTGTTGAATAGCTTTAAAACTGTGGGACAAGAATTGCGCTGACAAACGTACGTAAGAAAAATGGATCACAATAGTGTGAATGCTTCACGCACAACTAGCCTGACGACGAGCTTTATTCTCACAAGTGCAGCGTTCCTTTTCTACAGGATCTTTGAAAACACTCGGGACAGTATGTTGTGGATTTTGTCTGGGGGTTTTAGTCAGTAAATTCACACTCACAGGCTTGAAGTTCCTTCCCTCAGACATAAATAGCATTTTTGTCATCATAGCGTTAACATTTATTATTTAATTAGTTTAATATCACAATCACTTATCAACATAGTTGTCAGACTTCAGCCTTCATCAGGGCCCGAGAGTTTGGTCATTAGAAGGTGCAGTTTGAATTGATGCCATTTTGTAGTCAGACACATTATTTCCTTGACAGTTCTGCTGCAGTTCCACGTGGATGTTCAAGTCGTGCATTTACCAAGTTACTGTACTACACATTATTGTACTCACTTTAATTTGAGCTTCCTCAGTAGCTGTGGCTGTATTTTGGTTGTGTTCCATATCGTCTTACAAACTTGAAAGAAGAGTCGTCAAATGTCCTACGCAAAAGCCCTTGTTGTAGGCAAGTTACCCACGAGACCGTCGTTCTGCTACAAAATGGTTCGCTGCTAACAAGTGGAAGTGGACGTGCAAAATGAGCAAAGCATCTTACTATAAAGCGTTTTAACGTTCACCATGCAAATAGAAACACACTAAAACCAGACAATGGTGAATAAATGTTCTCAAGTTCTTCCAAGTTTATTGGCCTCTTATAGATGCTGCGTGAACATTTTTAGTTTCTTAGTCTTAGTGTCACAACTAGAGAATGTTATATATATATATTTTGTTTGTTTTAATATTTAAAGATGTTCCAGCTTAATCAAGATAATTAAAAAAAATACGGTAGACCAACAATTTCTCACCTTTATGAATCTGTAACCAGAAAAATGTTATATTTCCTATATTTATATATATATATTTAAGTGTATTAATATTTGTGATTGTTCAGTTTGTTTTGCATTTACGAGTGACATCATAGATCAACTAATCGCTCGACCCTTAAATGTACAGATAATAATCTTGCTTTTTCACTCAAGACACACTAAGACACATCTTCTGGCTCAACGGTACCTTACGCTTTAGCGTTTGCTTAGCAACTTTTTTAGTTCCTGAGCTGAAAATACAAAGGAGAAAAAAAAAATCACAGATACACAACCTCTATGTTTTTCCATTCTTTGTAATAAAAATGATTTTTATCTGTCTCTGCCACAAGGCTAACTCATATTTGAACTACCACTGGTCTGCCTATACACTATATATGTGTACATCCCTCTATGGGACAACTCTGTGAACCATTAGTGGCACGACCATATCTTGATGCAGTTGATAAATTGGTTGACATAACAGAAAAAAAAAAATCAACTATACAGTAATGATGGTTTTATCTCTGTGCCCTCGTTCTCCCGGTTCATTTTAAATTAAATGTTGTTTTTTATTGAAGAGCTGAAAGATTTTTGATTAAGATTGAGTAAATTATTTTGCACCTTAATAGACAGTAAACAGCCAAAGGGTCTGCTGGTTTGTTTTTGCAGCAAACACTGACCTCCAAATGTATTTCTAGACTTCCACTTGTGTTCATACTGATGTCCTGTTCGTCTTTCTATTCTTCCTCACATGACGTACTGTGCAGTTTTGTGTGCGAGTTGAGAAAAAGAAAATGCTGCTTTGTAATTAGGACATACAGTCTGTTGTTATCTGAAGTAGTTTTTAGTTGCTGTATTGATGGTATTACCTTACTTAAGCCTGAATTTAATACACTTTTCTAAATTTCCCTGGTAATTTTGCTTTCAGTGTTTCTCCAAAAGGATGCTCTTAAGTAGCCTGACTAGTCGTGAAATATTTATTAATAGGCTGACTGTCACGAAAGGCCACCTGTTGCTCTTCATAACACAAAGTGGACTGAACGTTTGAAAGAAGGGGAGGAGATGCTTTGATTTACTAGTGTTTGACTGTATATTTTCATTAATGATGACACTGTTTGACGAAATGTAAACACTGTTTTTGCAGAAGATGGGAGCCAATACAGATTTATAAATTAAGTTAACTGAGTTGAAATTTTCTCATTATCCTAAATGTTCTGTTGTGTTTAATAGCAAATGGTAATTTCCACTTTGTCCACACAATTTAAGTTGTAGGCATTTTCACTCCCTCTCCTTTACATTTATAAAGCTGCCAGAAAGCCCATTATTCATTATAACAATGAGACCAGTGGTTCGTTTTCAAGTTCAAGTATTTACAGTTATTCGCATCACGTGGTACATGAGGTGGAATGAAATTGAGTACCCAAGGTCCCAATTACACCTAAAAATAGCAAAAATATAAAGTATGAAAAGAAACGGTATACAAGGATCTAAGATATACGCTAAGATATACGCTAACGAACGCTAAACAATAAGTTAAAATGTCTAAGATATACGCCAAACACTAGTAATGTAAAATAATCCGGTAAATTAAACAGCAGCCCGAACATGAGTCTGCAGTGAGCAGTTGGGTATAAATGAATACAGCAGCATGAGATAGTCTTAACAACATACGGTAGATAGTCTTTACGCTTTTACAAGGGATGGGTGCCTTTACCTTAGCATGCTCTGGCCTTCTGTTTTGAAATTTGCTGCCAGACTGTATCTTAATTTTTGTTCTGAGCTTGAACCGGTTAAAAGTATTTTTCATACGAGACAACAATTAGATTTATTTTATTTTACCTAACGAGGAAACAAAGATCAGAGGATCAGTTTCAACTCTAAAGAAAAATCAGAATTTTAAAATGATCTCATCGTATTGGAGACAAAAATGGAGACATGTCATTTGTAAACGGCTTTTAAACTGATTTTATTCCTTTTTTAACTAAACCCAAATATTGTTTCAACAAAAAAGTATGTCTGTGGGAACATATTTTATGAGAGGAAATCCAGATTAGTGCAACAGTAATCCAAAGTTTCTTCTATTTCTGTCTGAATTTAAAGATACATACTTGATATTTATTAACACAATTTTCCAGTCTTATATAACATATTAGGACGTTACTTAGATTTAGGTGAATCTGACTACGTAAATGTTTTTCGATAATGTTGCCTGGTTACAAAGTCATGGTCAGCTGTTTCGTGCCTTTGCTGCTTTGAATTATTATTTTTTTTGTCTTGGTTACCAGAGAGACAGCATATTCATATGATTGGCTGTCTTAAAAAGTTACATCAGTAATGACACAAACTTCTCACGGAATTTGATTTTGAAAGATGCTTTCATTAGCAGTACAAAAGTAGTTTAATAAAAAGCGAGCGCCAAGGCTTTTTTTTCATGCGAGCTATTGCAACGAGGGTCTCTTTAATTGTGAACATTCATTCATTCAACCTTTATTTGAGCAGATAAGTCGCATTGAGCCTCGAAGACTCATTTACAAGTGAGACCTGTTTGGACAGACAATAAAAGTGATGAAAAATGACACACAGGGTTTGGGAAAATGCAAGTGCCTATAATGAAAACTTTTGTGGATACACTGATGCACTATTTCTTGAGAAAAGGTTTGTATTGTAATTCTGTTAATAGTTTTAATAATAATAATATATAATAATACTTCATAATATAGTGTACAATTTTCAACGGAGAAAATGTAATGGGCACGATTATGCTAGTAGTGGAACTAACTTTCTGTTTATTGGGTTAGTGCTTTTGCTAACTTTAAAAACCTTTAGCGGAACTAGCTTCCGCTAAGTTTAAATCTGGTCAACTCAAGTCAGCTATTTTTTTTTAAAGACAGTTCTCCACTCTAAAAGCATGCAGGAGAATGGTGATTTTCACAGAGCGATACTATGCAGAGCTAAGCAAAGCACCACCCAGTGATTTTCAGGATCACCATCCTTGCAGCGTCCCCCCCCACCATACCTACAGTAAACAGTCTTTGTCTCATGGTGTCATTTTATAGCCAACAACAAAGACTTTAACATAAATGTCAAACCAAACCAGAACAGGTAAATAACATGAAAAAAACTTTCACATTCAGAAACATTGTAAACAGTTTGCACACATAATTCCTACCCAGCATGCTTTGTAACTCTCACACGGTCTCTGGGACATAACTGTCACACATGATTTCACACATTTTTACCTTAAAACAGATTTATTACAGTGAGAATATTGATGATGAGACACAGCAACTTTGTAGTTGGTTTTTAAAAGCAGTAAGCCACAAAGAGGATTGCCAAAGTGAGTTACCGTAATTCATTATAGTAAATGACACGAGGGAGACGTCCGGCACATGTTTCATGTGCCACTCGGCTTCAGAACAGCAGAGTTCTGCTCCACCTCTTTGTTTCTGATGGACCAGATTCATTTCTGAAAGTTCATCTCTGAACGGGACACGGACACTTTTTTTTTTCCATTCAACCTTTATTTAAACAGGTAAGTCCCATTGAGCCACGAGGACTCATTTACAAGAGAGACCTGAATTTTAACAAAGGGTGTTGACAACAGTGGACAACAACGACAACAATGGACATTCACAAATGATGCGTACAAATTTAAGTTTTTTTATTTTTTTTACAATTGAAAACAAAATAATTAAAAGTATAATTAAAAAGAAACGTAGCAAAAAAACCCTGCTAGATTATGAGGTGGTGTAGAATACTAAAAACAGGAACATGTCTGCACTGGTTCAATGGTGGTTGGTGTTACTTGTGATTTATGAACCATTTTGACTTGTGTTCATTTACACTGTTGTCACATTACAGACACATTCTAGTGTCAGCAACAGCAGTGTATGATAAAATTTAGTTATTTAGCGTTACGCTACGTTATTTTATTTTTTATTTTTTGCAGTTTAGCGTTAGTGAATGTAATGTTTTATTTAGCGAATTAGTGGTTAGCAAAGCTGATTTTTTGTTTAGATTATACCCCACTGGTAAAGAGATAAAAAAAAAAATCCATAATCAGTGTTGAACCCATTCATAACATCAACAAAAATCTCAAACTAAAATCAGCCCTGAACTCTTTCAGACTGATCGCAACTATTCAGATTTTATTGTAAATCATTGATTTTGTCATTATTTATCTTAGAAATATGACAGACCTCATGTCACTCTTGTATCTTTTGTCAATAAAGCTAAAAGCACTGATTTGCTGAAAGAAAAACATGCATACACAGTGTATTGCATTCAGCCTTTTAATGGGTTAAATGGAATTAGTTTAAATATTACAAAGAAAACTTGCATGTTCCTGAGTTCTGCAAAGACAACTGTCACCTAATTAGTCTATTAATGGATTAAATGTGATGCCAACATGGTACATGAGACAAAGCTGTGGTAATTGCCTCCCACATGTAGTGTACTAGTGCTGAAAGTATTTCTCTAGTTCCACAATTTGCTCCTATTCTGTTTGAACATTTCTTTAATTGTAGCCTTGCTCTGTTCTGTTTATGGAATAAGTGAATCCTTCAGGATGTGTTGTGTTCACTGAAAGTGGTTTGTTTGTGTTGCCAATAATCACACACTTGCTTAGTTCAGGTGCAGTTTTCAGACACATAGTTTTTAACAATTTGGAAATGAAGCTTAGGAGTGTGAAGTGAATTTCTTTAGTTTTGACTTCATAGACTTTAGTTTACCAAGGGTTTTTGATGTGTTATTTTAATGTACCTGACTTGTGTTCTAGGAACGTGATGGTATGCGGGCCATATTGGAGTCCTATGACAATGAGCTGGCTTCTGCTGAATATTCTCCTCAACTCAGCAGGCGGCTCAGAGAGGCAGAGGACATACTGCAGAAAACTCAGAACCACAATACAGAGATGGAGGTGTGAGCAGACACATTCTTGCACATTTCCTATTTCATACTTTGTGATTTTTAGGGCTGCTCAGTACATGTGGGTGTATTGAACCGTTTCAGTAGACGGGGTTCTCGGTTCTGTTGACGGGGTGGAGCGCCCCACGTATAATGGTAGGGGAAACACTGGATAGATGTTTTCCCATTTGTCGCATGTTTTAGTGTTTTTACAACAATAATAGACACGGCACAAAATAATGTGCCTTGGCATTATTGAATGCACCAGTGCTGCGGTTGGTAAATGATATCCATCCCCTGCTTCACTTACATGCTTTTATTTTTTTATGTTTATCAGATGAATCAGATAGTGTTTCCATAAATTTTTTAAAGTATCTGTTTTGAAAGTAACTGTCTGTATCCTTTTCTCCCATCTATTCAGGCTCAGTTGACCAAAGCTCAAGATGAGGCAGGAGCCCTCAAACTACAACTACAAAGAGTAAGATAAAAATGCAAAATTCTAAGAAGAATTAATTGGTAAAATAAATAGGATGTTGCTTTATAGAGTGATTACTTAATGATGGACACTTCACCCTGATGCTACTTTTTGATTGTTCTGCAACATCAAGTCTTGAGTTCTGACGATTTAGATTTCAGTTTCTTGGTTTTACTTACTGATAATCCACAAACATTCACTTGTCCAGCTTTACTGATACCATGGGTGGTGGTTCCTCATGTTGCACACTTATGATGTTTTCAATTTTAGTCTACGTGCATCCTTAAAAAGTCTTAAAAAGACTTAAATTCATATTTCTTAAATTAAGGCCTTAAAATATCTTAAATTCATTAACAATGTGCAAGTTGGCCTTAAATACATTACAGTGTTTCCCCTAGATAACTTGCCATGGCGGAACGCTCATCTCGTCTGTGATTTTTGTTGGGGGGTGAACAGAGACTCGTCCCAAGCTTTACCCATTATTACACCAGGGATTAAAGCAGGAAAAAAAATAATTTCACTGAATTTTATTTTCACATCTAGAGGTTACCCAAGCATCAATACCCCCATACCCATCCTAGATACATACACACACCAATACCATGCATTTGAGAGCGTATTCCTGCATATAGGTCACTTCCCAAAGGTTTTCATGTAACGACGAGTATACTGTGTACATGACCTTATTAAAAGTGCGCACAATAATGTTCTCAATTGAAGCACTGAAGTTGTAATAAAACTAATCTGCACCACATGGATCTAATGATCAGTGGCGTTCTAAAGGAAGAGAGGGGTTTTGAACAACTTTTCTGTCACCTGTGTCATTGAGCTGCATCAGCTACTTTTAATGAGTTTACTCCATTGCTGCCAAACCCTATCCAGTGTTTCCCCTACCAATGATGTTCTGAACCAAGCGTCCCACCTACCAAGTCCCCACCCCATGGCAAACAGCTCTGCTACTTCCAGACGGAGAGCGGAGATTGTAGCAGCTCCGCTCAGACGTAGTATTTGTTATGTAGCGCTCCAGTACCACCATCGCAACCCCCTCCTTCCCACCCAGTCATCAAAACGCCAATGAGACGGGCGCCCTCCCAAAGCAAGTGACCTAGGGGAAACACTATCTGAATCAAATAGTTCATAATGCCTCTCTAAGCAACCTTGAAAATGATCAGTAATTATACTTTAAGGATAATTCCTTTTCATCATACCTTTTTAAGTTGTTTTGTACTTTTATCGATTTTTGTTTTGTCGTATGCCTTTATCTTAGCTGAGGCTTTCAAATTTTCTCTTAAACTGGAATGTTGTAATAAGATTCAGGTTAAACCTAATCTATTTCACACACTTTGACACTTTGTCTTTACATAGTCCACGATTTACTTCATTTTTGTGAATTCTTGTTGCTAGGGTAACCTCAAGATAGCCATGGCACTGAGTCCTGACATGTGAAATTCACCTGCGTGGCATAGTAGTACCAGTAATCATTTATTTGTCTTGGGAGAACGTGGAGAGGATGCACTAAAAGACAGTCGCCAAAAGCAAAAAGAAAATTAGTTGATGTAAATGTAAATGAGCATAATTACAGAGAAGAGCAATATCGGAGAATATGTAGGAGACAAACGGATAAATTGAAAATTGTAATAGGAGAAATGAATAGGATATTATTAAACAAAAAAATCAGAGGATTAATTGTGTTTAAAAGACTGATTTTATCTCACTTGATGTGCCTCTCGGATATCAATCCAAAACAGATTTTTGCAAGGCCAAAGGTGGTATAAGGATGGAGTAGCAAGATAATTTTCTTTTTCCTTGTTCCAGGTGGAACTGGAGCTGGAGACTATTAAGAAGCAGCAGGCTTCAGCTGCTGACAGCTGCTCTTTAGTGACCAAAGAAGAGGTCAACATACTTAGGTGGGAAACTCACACAACCTGTTGAAACAGATACTATTTCAAATCCTAGGTCATGAATAATTTATAGCGGATTAACAACCCGGACCCCACATACTGGCTCAAGCAGAACTATACCCCAAAGAGGAACTCATTTAGTCCACTACTTGTGTATGATTTTATTTTTTACAGCAGATATTGTGTTTGCACTTGCATTTTTCAGACAGAAAATTGAAGATTTAGAGCAGGAACGACAGTGTTTGGAGGAAAAGAATAACGTTCTGGAGATGAGACTGGAGAGACACAACCTGCAGGTAGGCACCAAAACTTCTGTCCAACTGTTTTTAGTGATGGATTTACTCGTCTGGCACAAAGGAACCAATTTAATAACCCCAAGGGTAGCAGCCTAGTCTGCAAGACACCATAGATTGATTCACACAAACATATCCTATATCTGACTGTTTTTCAAACACAATTGGACCCAGGTGTCGTTCCAACAGTGTCCAGTGCTATAGTTTTCAAACCTTTGGCTGGATTTGAGCCCCATTCTTTACTGGATGAAGGGATTATGGCATACGGAGCACTTGAATGGAGCAAATAAATTCAGATCCTTTTTGGTTCCAAATTAGAAAAAAGTTGATTGTTTATTAAGCTGTGATTTTGAATAGGCCGAATGTAATAATTTTGGGATTGTATTACATTTGCCTAGTGCTTTTTAAAATTTATGTATCCACATAACTCAAACTGGATGTCAGCTACTACACCAAGAGCCATGAGAATGCCTCAAAAATGCTAAATGGCTACAACTTTAAATCAAATTGGTTGATTGAAGGTCAACACTGTCTTTTTGTTTCACGGTCTGGGGATTCTAACAAGAATGCAGGTGAAAGAAATTGTGTCCCAAAAAATGCATACAAAAATGTCCGATTCTTAACTTTTCTTTTCTGAACCCGTAACTACTCTAACATACAGTGTTAAATGAGAAAACATGGAAACAAGCTCAAATGTTGCGTGACAAGCAAGACATGTGTAGTGAGTCACGTGAGGTACGTGTCACTTGTTGTATGACAAATATATGAATTATATATGCATACGATATTCACGAGTTCTTCATTTTTCTGACTGTAAATGTCGTGCATTGAATTTAACAGAAATGTAACGAGAGACGTTGTTTATCTTTGACCCATCAAATGAATGGAATCATTTATTTTCAGAATCAAAGTTTAACATCAAACATTTACATTAATTTGGCAAAATATGAAAATAATAACAGACAGTTTCACAGAAAATGAACTTCAAATCACTCGGCGGTGATTTGAGGACTTTGCTTAAGATATTTCTAAAATATCTGTACTGATTTATGAGAGAGAGAGGTGGGTTTTAGAGTGAAAGGAGATTATCTTACAGAGAACTGTGTGAGGGAAGTTTAATCTGTTTAACCAGAAATTGCACGCTTCGTCAGATCCTCAGCCCGTCCACGGTACACTTGAGTCGAAGAGGAAATCTTTACCTGGTTTGACGATAGATCAGCTCAGTAAGAGTCCTTCAGACTGTTTCAGCGCCTCCGTTCAGAACAGCTAGAAATCCTCGGAGAGTCGTGCGTGGTTAGTTCAAACAGAAGTATAATCCCAAACGTCCCTGGTTCTTCATAACTCCAAACTCTTCATAACCGGCTGCATCTCTCAGAACTCTCATTCTGTTGGACTATCGGACCTGTTGTCAGCTCTCATTCCAACATCTCTCAGAACTCTCATTCTCTTGGAATTCTGGAATTCATAATTCTCTAATCCTTCTCTTCTCTATCTCTATTTTCCAATGAACTGAGAAGTTGCCACATTTTATTTGGGTCGACTTCCTGTTCAATTTAGAGCTTTCTGATTCGTGGAAGGACCAGAAAGAGGAGTGGATTTGTGACGTAAGATGTTATCATAAGTCAAGGATTGTTTACAACATACAGAAAAGATTATTGCAGCAACAGCAGACTTCGTGGAGTCTCACACTTTGTAATCTTCTCAAATAGTAAAACATGACATTTTTCTCGGTAAACATTTTAGTTGACCGAAAACCAACCTTTAACATACTTACGACAGCTTGCTCATTTCAGACAGAAAATCAAGAAAGGCATATTCAGGCGATTTCTTCTCTGAATGAGGAACAAAAATCATTACTTACTGTTTATGTAAAATAAAAATTAGTAGTTCTTTTCAACCTGTAAAGCATTGAGTGAACTAACACAATTTGATTATCAAAACATTTGTAAGACAGTAATGATTATAGAGGATTGTCTTTTCTGCTTGATTAATTCAAGAAAGAAAGTTCATCAGATGGTTCAGACTTATTCAGATCAATGAAAATAACAGTCTCTGTCCATCTGGTAGATTTGAGGTCATCTGGTTCACTACACATGCGTTCTCAAATATTTTGAGTTCAAGAAATATCTGCACACCTTCACTAGATTAACGATAGTAAAAAAGACTGACAATTTTTCTTTCCATTCTTGGGTTAAATCAGGACCTTCTCTGAATACCTTGCCACCTATTAGTAATTGTATTACAGTGACTGACACAGGTGCACAAGTATGCTTTTTTTTTTTTAGATGTTTTTATTTATTTTTTTCTACATACAGTATGTGAGAGTCTGTTTGATCACGCTCTCAAACTCCTGACTCACACTGTGCCAGACTAAGCCTACCACGGCACTTTAATGAAATGTGTGTGGGCAAGCATGTTGGTTCCATTTAGCTGCGGAGTAAATGAAATCCACGTCTCTTCAAGCATGACCACTACCTTTAAGGCAATGGTCAACCAAGTGTGTGTAGGAGAGTGTTTCTGCACCAGTTTCAAGGTTACACAGTCAATGGATCAGGTGGGTTCTTAGGAGCTCATTTTTATGACTCCTCCATGGTCTAATGCACACCAAGAAGCCTCTATATTAGAAGAAACGAGTGACTGAATAGAGAAGCGTTTGAATGGAGAAATCGATGGCTGAATGACGTTCAGAACTGAGCGCCTCAAAAAACTGACAAAAGAATTTTGTTTTATTACACTAATTTTCACAGCAGCTTACGTACCCGAACCCATAATTTATCTCTGGTCTTTATATTTTTGTCACACTCTCAACCATTCAGATGACTTTTGTCATGAAATTGTTCTAATGTACGAGCAATTCATTAATATATTGTGGCATAGAGCCCTTTTAACTTGTAGTTATTTAAGAGACAAGGTATAATAGTAAATACCTGTTTATAGTATAGACGACAAGAAAATGCAACTTATTCATGTTTATTTTTAGCTGAATTCAACAACCCTGTCAGCAGTTTCCATCTATTCACTCTGAAATACTGTAAACCTCTTTAAGGCTATGTGTCCAGATGCTAGTGTCTCCACAGTTTGATGTCTTACGTGCATTACTGCATTCCATCTAGTTGTGCAGAATTATTTTTCTTCACCATATGCATAGTAGTTTAACACAGCAAATCCAGATTTGTATAGGTATTACACATTTGATTAAGACATTTGTAGCAAATAATACATTTCCCAAATGATTGTTTTGTATTGGCACAGAATGTGTTGCATATTGTTTTATATGTTTACTGAATGTAGTTTTAGTGAGATTGTTTTCCCCCAAATGTGTCGAAACATTCCCAGAGGGAGAAAAAAATCAGTCTTTACCTAACGAGCTTTTATTATGCCTATTTACAAATTTATAATTTAGTTTTTACTATCCTTGAGAGGATCGTAGATGTTTTATTGTTTTTAAAAAGCACTATCTTTTTTTTATATATTCCCCTTGCAATGCTGCAGCTTTGTTGTTACCTTCTGTCTAAATAAAACAATTCCCTCTAAAACAGACCCGGTATTTGAAAATTGCACATGTATCTGTTCATATTTTAAGTATACCAAAATGCCCAGTTAAAGAAAATAAAGTAAAATAAAACAAAGTAATTAAAAAGACAAACAGCTATACCTCGTCAGAAGCAGCTTGAGCTGCTTTTATCTGTATTGGGGGATGCGTTTATGTCATCTGCTGCACATTATTTCATGTGAACCTCTAGCGCAGTTAGGAGCAGGCAAACTTTTGGGGTTTAATCAAAGAGTTAATTACATTATTTGTCAAAAAGGACCTTCAAAAGCGTGAAAAACAGACATTAAAAAAAAAAATATATATATATATATATATAAGCTGCTTGTTGGGCTTCGAGATATATTTCCCTTTCTGCTATAGTTTTTTTCTCTTTTAGATAAATAATTGTTGCTGTTGCTGGAGGTTGCATCAACATTATCTCGTCACGGTGCTTCTTCTGCTCACTTATGGAGTTCAGCTGTATAATAACCAGTCACAGTGTTTACTGGATAATAAACATTATGCAGTAAATCTGTGTATTAACGGTCACATAATGAAGGCTGTTTAAGTCACATACATAAATAGTATGACAGTGGCATTTGCACAGGAACCTTAAAACTAGAAAATCTTAAAATTTAAGCGTTTAAAATAATAAATGCAATATTTCAATAATTATCCAAAAAAGTTCAATCTGGTCCTCTGGACATTCAAAAAAACATTTTGTTTTTTTGAATGTCCAGAGGACCAGATTGAACTTTTTTGGATTTTTCTACCTGGATTATTGAGCATGCATCAAGATATTTCAATAATTACTTTCCATGAATGCAATGTTTTTTGTAATTAGTCAAATAAGTCAAAAGTATTTGCTATTACCTTTGCTTAATTTGGGAATGACTCTTTATGAGCCTCACTTGCCACTCTGCTGAAAGTGCGTAACCATGCAACTAAATGTGCTCTGCCAATTTTTCACATGTGGCCTGTGGTGCAATGCCGAGTGGATGATGACGGGTGACTGCTGCGGCTCAAAAATGATAAATACCAACCGTGGTTTAAATTCTGAAGTAGCTACCTGAAATGTCTGCGAAATGGCTGTGTGAAGCCATGAATGCCAAGTCCAGACAGGAATTTTTGATCAGAGCTGGTTTTTCACGCTGGTTAGCTAATCCCCCAACTTCCTTCTTACGCAAAGGAAGAGAAACATTCACAGACAGTTTACAAGCTTAAAGAGATGCTTTAAATGTGTAGGTGCTACAGCTTGCTACTGCCACTAATTGTGCTTGCAAATAACCACAGAATTTGATGTAAATATAATGTGTTGTGAAATTTACTGTTAGCAGAAAAAAAAATACATGTCTAAGTACTGTTTTCATTTGTTGTAATTGTATTATTAGAGGATGGGCAGTAGGTGTTGTTTAAAAAAGGCGCCCTGACTGGAAAAACACAATTAGAAAACATCTTAACACGTGACCAC